AGTTTATGTAGATTAATTACTTAACCAGTCCAGGGGGTTGCTATAAAGTCAGTTTGTATAAGCAGATGAAGAACCCAGTTCCCCAAGTTTCAAGGCCCAAGGGATTAGGGTCAAGACAGAAGTCTACTTAGCCGAGTGGAGCTCTTCTTCCCTGTAAGCCCATCTCAATGAACTGTGGGAACACCCATTCCTCCATGGTCATTTCTGGACATCGTGCTTTGACTAGATGGAATTAAAAGCAAAACTGGAGACACAATAAAAGCCTTAACAAATGGTGCAGGGCCCCTCTCCTCTTGTCCCTTGAACAGAAGAGGAATGTGACAGGGCCAAGGGAGCCAGCACCTTCCTCCCAAGCCATTCCTCATATAGGATGGGAGAGCTGGAGTGATCCTGAGTTAGGAAACAAACTCTATTGGTCATCTCAGAAACAATTAAAAAAAAAAAAAGGACTGAACCATTTCAGAGAAGGATTAAACGAAGAAAAATTCTGCTTGTCTGTTGGTGGCTTGTTTTTAATTAAGTGGACAATTTAGCCCAAGAATTCATTAGTTCTCAATTATTGCAGTCTCTTACAGAGGGAGACTCAGAACACGAATTCGTGGCTGGCCTCTTTGCCATTCAAACCACCCCACAGACTTCTTTGCATTATTCCTCTATCTTCCCCCAGGGTGGGGGCTGGACTTAATGCTTCTGTCTTTCTCTGGGAACGTAAAAGTCATTCGGGTGAGCCTCCTCCAGTCCCAGCACGTTCAACCCCTCGGCCTTTAATCTATGAACAGAAATAAAGGCGGTGACTCAGAAACTCCAAAGGACCCTCCTCCCCTCCAGTGAATTCATAGAATTTAATGAACAATCTGGACCAATCCAGCTTGCAGGGAGCAGCCCAAAGCATCTCCCACGTGCAGAAGTCCAGGCCAAAGAATAGCTAAAGTGAGCCAAAGGCCCAGGGGCCAGTTCAGCTAATGAGGACTTGGGCTCTAGTGTTTGTTTCTTCAAGAGTAACCTAAACATACAATATTTATCATTCTTTCTGGTTGAGTCAGGGAAGAAGTTGAGCTGGCCACTTCAGATAAGCCATCAGCTACGGGTTTCGAAAAGGCGAAATTCCCACTGCTGCGTATTTTTTGGTCGTGTTTCAGAAGCAGCAAACAGCTGCGGTTCTCGCTAACTCCGCGCATGACAGCCTCCTGCAGGCGCTAGAGCTGGCATGCAGCTGAAGTCTCTCTTCTCTAGGCTACAGGGCAGGCTCCAAGTTCCCAAGCACGGGTGAGAGACAAACACCCAGAAGAGTGGCCGGGCCAGGGGAATCTGTCTGTGACACACGAAACATGGCAACAGTATTGGGATGGCAGGCCAGCCAGCTGCATCACAAGGCATCTGCTAGCCAACGTCTCCCTTGCTGCTTTGATGACACTATCAGCCATGTTGAAAAGCCTAGTGGCCAGGGATTGAAAGCCACCTCCGGTCAAGTCAGAAAAGAACAGAGGTCTGTGATCCAGCAGCCCTGCAGAAACCCAGCTCGGCCACAACCACGTGAGTGTGAGAGCAACTCAGTCTCCCTCCCAAGCCATCGGGTGGGACCCCAACACTAATAGACACCTTAATTCCGAAGCAGAAAACCCAGGGACAAGGCATTGAGACCCCTGACTTCCAACAACTCTGAACTAGTACGTGGGCAGAAGCTATGACATTTTGAAGTAGTTTGTCACGCTGCTAGCTACCTAAGGCTGCAGGCCACCTACCTTACACATGCCACTGCTAGGCACCCCTTCCCCGATCCCAGTACTATCACGCTGGTTACAACACGGTCGATACCTACAGTCCTGGACCACTACCACAGCTTGCCATTCAACAACTAGACACCAAATACAGCACTTAGCATGCAGTAAGGGTTCAATAGCTGCTTCCCTTGATGGAATATTTGTGTTAAGCTGAGGGCAAGGGAGGCTGAAAGCTTTTGCCTTTGGTTTCTGGCAGAGGTTATTTGCACCTTAAAAACAAGCAAGAAGGAAACCCAGTGGGCCAGTTGAACCTCCTGCAAAGTGGTGGCCCACAGGCCGGGCCGGGAAGGCAGATAGAGCAGGTTCTGCTTCTGGCTACGAGTCTGAGCTTGGGCTCAGTTTCTGAGTGTTCCTGTCCTCAGAAGTGGGTGCACAATTCTAGGAAAGGACACTCTGGGGCAAGATGCTTCCACTCTCCATCAAGAAGACATGTTGTAGTGGCATTTCAATTGGAATTTAATAAATAAAGACTGCCTGAAGATCTGAGAGTTACACAGTCCCACTGGTCAGCCTTAAAGACCAGGTAATGGTAACACACACCTTTAATCCCAGTAGCCACACTATTTGCCAAAGAAATGGGACTGTTCATGCCTTTAATCATGGTGGTGCACACCTTTAATCCTAGTCCTAGAGAGGATTATTAAAATGGGAGGAAACAGCTCTCAATACATAGGCTCATTCTGAGATTCTGGGAGGCAGGATCTCCATTTCAGACTGAGGTCGAGGTAAGAGCCAGGGGCTGGCTGTTTTGCTTTTTGTACCTTCAGGTTGAACTCCAATTTCTGATCCTGAGTTTTTATTAATGGTGCTTCAATTGGTGCCCAACTTTTTGCAGCACAAAATTATTAAAAAAAAAAAAAAGCAATTTACCTGAGGCTTTTTAGGCACCAGCTCAGGTCAGGGCTGGGAATGGAATTCCAGCTCTAGGAATTGGAACCCAAACTTAGATACCTGAATTTGGGAGAAAAACTAATGCTCCCAGCTCCCATCCACCCCAGCTTAGCTTCCATGTAAAGATGGAAAACACACAGAGCATTGGATACTGTATATTAGTATGTTGTCTTTGAATTGTTTGGCTGCTGAGGAAGGAACAACAGCTGCTCAAAGACATTTGATTATTAATGTTGCTGGATTAATGCATATATTTTGAAAATACCTTGATTTCAAAATTTAAGTCAAAAGATATGTTACTTTGGAAAAGAGGTTTTGCTTTTATTTACACAGGAAATGAGAGGCTGTGGATTCATTCTGAGTTAAGAAAATAAGGTTTGATCAAGGAAGACCCCTGAAAAATCTGTAGTGGGAACAGAGGGCCCAGATATTCCAATGTGTCAGAGCAACCTTTGTCACAGTTTCCTCTGAGTTCAACAACCAGAACAACTTCAAGACTGCTAGCTGAGATGATCCAGCCTCACCAAATACTCCAGTAAGTCAACTGAGACACTGGCACTGGGTGGTATTCCAAGCATAGGAAACCTCAAAGCCCGCCCCCACAGTGACACACTTCCTCCAACAGGACCATGAGTAGTTTAAATACAAATTGCCCACGTAATCTCATAGGGAGTGGCACGATTAGAAGCTGGGAACCACATGAAATGGCTACCCCATTTTGTAGACCTAGAAACCTACTGCATCCCAGGCTGCTCCAGAGAGAGTGTCCTCTGTCCAATAACCTAAAGAAAGAGCTGGGAACCTTCTAGAGCCTCGTGAGGTTTTTGAAAACCCAGCTCAGCCAGTGGGAGGAGCAAGCATGTGCTCTCAGGCAGTCATGATAGAGGCTAGACAGCATACTGCACACACAGATGCACACACACATGGCACACGTGTGCGTGACAGAAGTTTCAAAGAGTACACAGAAAAACCTAACAGCTATCTACGTGGGAGATCATACATGGCCCGTTTCCTTTATAGTTTCTGATGCATTCCTTTAATGCGTTTACAATCAACAGTTATTGTTATATTGGGGACGAGAAAGCCATAGCATCTGAGGAAGAAATAAGATGAGCATTTTCTAGGACTGCCGTAACAAAGAGCCACCCAGGACAGGAACTTCTTCGGCTGTCATTCAGGAAGCTAGATTTGTGAAATGTAGGTGTTAGCAAGGCTAGCTTCTGCTGAGCTTCCAAGCCTCTCCCCCAGCTTTTAGGAAGTGCAGCAATCCTTGGGATCCCTTGGCTTGTAGCCACATCCTTCAGTCTCTTCACTAAGTAAATTCCCTAATCCATCTGCAAAGGCCCAATTTTCAGATAAAGATACAGGATATAGGATTTCAGAAGATTTTATTTGGGACAGAGATCCTAACTCAACCCATAGAGAAACATAGAAACTAAAAAACAAAGGCTGCAGGCCTTGTCTTCGAATACCAGGTAGCTATCATAGATGAAATGGTTAGATTGATTGTGTGGCTAACAGGAGAATAAATGAGAACAAGATGTGGACAAAAGACAGTTGATCTCCAGACAGGAAGCTGAGCTGTTCTGACCTAGACTAGCCCTCTTGAGTGGCAACCCCTTGTTCGTGAAAAGATGGCATTTGGATGGCACGGCAAACTAAGTGATGTAAAGGTCCTGACGTCTACAGCGTATACAGCATTGCCACCTGGGTACTGTCTGATCAACTGTACCAGTTTGGCTCCATCCAGATCTGGGCAAGCCCTGACCTTATCAGAGGCAGATCAACCTGTCAGTCATTTCCCCCTTCTTCTGTTTCCAGAGAAACTGGAGGCGGAGGATACATGTTCAGCGCTGCAGAGGGAAAGGGCCCAACAATCAAAGCCATTAGGATTCTGGGAGTCAGAGCACAGAGAACCCCAACACACCTGACTCCAAGGGTATCCCCAGCCCTAACAGCACCTGTATCCTCTGTCCCTCGGTCAGACCCACCAGAGCCTAGCACCCACAGACCGCAGTCAAAACTGCTGAGAAAATAGGCCACGATTTGTTTAAATACAGAGAGGATTGCCCTAAGAATAACATTTGTGTAAGAAACAGCAGTAATGTAGCAAGTTAAGTTTGTTTATTATTTTTCTTAAACAGGCAAATCTTCTCTGTGAAGAGATGGAAACACTACTCCAAAAAGCCCTTTCTTTTCACCAAAAATGCAAAGCGTGGCACCCCCCCACCCACACCCCCACCCACACACATACACTCACACACACACTCACACACACACTCACACACACACTCACACACACACACACACACACACACACACACTCACCTCTCCACAGGGTCCCTGAGCATGACAATGAGCTTGGCTTCGGGCTGAAAGGCGTGAATGAAGTCCTGGGTCAGGAATGGTGGCTCACCGTCTGTGCTGTTGTCATAGAAGAAGGTCCAGGCATTGTTATCCCACATTGTAGAGGCGCTGGCCTCTCCTGCAAACAGACAAGGAGCAGATGCTAGGCCATGGAGTAGGGGCTCCCACTGTGAGCCAGGTGCCAAGGCTGGCTTCTGTGCCTTCCTCTTAAATAGCCATGACCAGCAAGCTTATCGGCCATTGTTGGCAGATGGGGACTCCGGGGATCTGATGAGAGGGCAACCGGCACCTACCTACCTCTGCCGGTGCCGACGGCACCCCCACCCCCAGCTTCTTCCTTCGGGATGAGCAGAAATACAACCTTTACTAACACTTAGGACTTTAACTTCACAATATTTGGCTTTGCCGGCAGCTCATAGCTCTGTGGCATTTTTAAGGGCCCACTGAGAGTCTATTAGACGGCTTCCTTCAGAATGTGTCACGAAGAGAAAAGAGTCATCTGCCGAAGCCGACCCTCAGTAGGAAGTCGGACACGGTTCACATCTATCTTTCCTTGGATCCATAACAGCTAGGCACAGGGCACAATCTGGGACCAAAGGGGAGGACGGCTTCGCCAGAAGCCCAGGGGGTCTCAGCCTCAGTCCCCCCACTTGCCCGCATGGCCAGCTGTCTACTGCCCACACCTCAGCCCTTGCTCTTTATCCAGTCAGTGCACTGTAGGACGGTTTAACACTATTTAACCAGGGTCCCGACAGGATGGAAACAGTCAACACAGCTTTGGGGAGAGAGGTGAGGCCAAGACACAGGCACCGAAACAACAGAGACTCTTGGATAATTGAACTAATTGTTGTTGTTGTTGTTGTTGTTACTGTGTATGATTGTGTGAATGTGTGTGTGTGTGTGTGTGTGTGGTATGACATCTGTACTCTTAAGTGAACATGTATGTGTACCTGCTTACGAAGACCAGAAGTCAACAAAGAAGGCCTCCCTCTATTGCTCTATCTTTTTGAATCTGGGTCTGTCACTGAACCCTGAGCTTGTCAATTGCCTAGACAGACTGGCCAGTAAGCCCTAGGGATGCTCCTGCCTCCACCTCCCCAGCACTGGGATTGCAGGAACACACAGTCACGTCCAGCTTTCTCCAGGCATGCTAGAATCCAGGTCCTCATGCTTCTGCAACAGGTGCCTTGCCTTGCAATAAACCATGCTCCCAGTCACATTTCTCTTGTCATGTGTTGTGACTGTCTGCAGAAATGTAGAAGGGAAGGGACTCCAGGGATCTCGTGGGAGGACAACGGGCACCCACCCTTCCATAGCCACCACTACCCCCAGACTATTTCTTCAGGATGAACAAGCCAGTCAGCTCTACACTTGATTCCTGGACATGGACCATGTGCCACATCTCAGTGTTACTCGTTCAGAGGCAATTTGAGTGAAAGGCTCTTCCTGATCAGTGATAAGCAAGTAATAAGCAATATAATAAGACAGCAAGCCCTGTGAGCACACTGTGGACATGTGTGAAGCCAGCAGGCCCTGTGAGCACACTGTGGACATGTGTGAAGTCAGCAGGCCCTGTGAGCACACTGTGGACATGTGTGAAGACAGTAGGCCCTGTGAGCACACTGTGGACATGTGTGAAGTCAGTAGTGAACACACTGTGGACATGTGTGAAGACAGTAGTGAATACACTGTGGACAAGTGTGAAGCCAGCAGGCCCAATTCCGCTGCTCGGTCTGTGACATGCAAGGAGAACACTTCTGTCCCAGCCTTCTTTCCTTTCTTAGTTTATTTTCTAACAACATAACTACAAGAGAAAAGACAAGTCAAACCTTTGGCAAGCCTACTCACCAGAAAGAGGAGAATATGAAATGCAAGTAGAGAATATAACCTCAAATTGGCACAAATTCTGCCAGATCTCAAAAGGGAGCTGGTTCTAAAACCATGCAGGCATTGGTCCATCTTCCCACCTGTCTGTCCACCCAGCCTTCATCCACCCAGTAAGCACCCGTTTGACATGAGATTCATGCACCACATTGTCTTGGCACAGGAGACTGATGAGGCTAATGAGGGAAACAAGACTGGCATAGACAGTCTCCTCTGAGAGGTGACCTAAAGGTCAAGAAGCCATCGGCCACTAAGGGAGTGGACAGGGACAAGTCCATCCTGCAGGCAGGGCAGGGCCTTTCAGCATCCCCAGCCCCACAGAACCTGACTGCTTTAGTTCTGAGTCCCAGAATGTCTCTTCTGCCAGAAGCTGCTAAGAAGAAGGGCCTCCTCTGACCCAGGGCCCTTCTCCCAAGCTGAGGTGACCCTTTGACCTCTGCCAAGGCCTTCATTGGCGGGGGGGAGTTGAAAAGGGCTGAGTCACATTCCAGGGCTGGGGGAAGCAGGATCCTAAGCTGGTCTGGCAACCCCATCTTATAGACCTGTAGGCTGGGATGCAAACAAAGCCCCGAAGTGGCATAGAGCTGGCTGGTGACAGGGAGAGCCAGATGCCAGCTTGTCATCTGCTTCTCCACACTGCCTGTCACACCAAGAGGCTATCCTAAGACATAGCACCAAACCTGGCTTGGAGTAAATATCAATGTAGTATTTTTATTTCTTGTTCTTTTTGAAATAGAGCAGTGACTATAAATAGGAACCCAAACGAAGGCTTTCCTTTCTCATTCATTTTCTAAGTCTGTTTCTTGGCTTTGGTAGGAATATTTTTAGCTCTTTCATAGAACCTGAGATTTTCCCAGAGGCATATGGTATGGGAGTCTCAGTAAAATATTAATTAGACTTATTAAATAGGGTGTTTGCACCCGAGTTGAAAATTAAAAAAAAAAACTAACAGCCTATTCATACCGTAGGTATGCGCATAAAGTACATACCCAATGGATCCAGAGATTTTACTTATGAATTTAAAAAAAATGTCTATCCATCCATCAGCCCAGGCTTTGGTAGATGCCATAATCTCCCCCCACAGAGGCAGGAACAGGGTCCTCATGCAAGTAGCTGGTCACAATCCATCCTGCTCACCCAGAGATTCATTTGGTTTAGAGAATCAAAATGTAATGGATCCAGGAACACAAAATAGATCATTGCCTCAGGGAACCAATTTAAGTGAAATGTATGATTCAATTTCTCCTTTCCAGAAGACGTTGGAGATAAACGCCTCATCCCAAGCTAAATCTGATGAAAAGAGTTCTGTCCGATGAAAGGAGTCTAGCATCTAAGGCACAGAGTTGGGGCTGGAGGTGGCAATGCCCTGCTGTGTGCTGTCATTTGGGCTTCAGGTACTCTCACCATCTGAAAGGCTAAAGCGAGGAAGCTGTGGGGAGACAACTATGCTCATTTGATTAGCTGCAGTAATCATTTCATTAAGGGTACGTACCAAAATGTGCACATCTAAATAGAAACAAAATTTATTTTTTTTTGATTTCAACAAAACATTCTTGCAAATTTTTACATGAAGCAATCTCAGTTTGTTTCGTCTCCCATCGCTGTGTTTGTTTGGCTTTGCTTGGTTTTGCTTTGTTGAGACAAGCTCTTGCGAAAGAGCCAAGGCAAGCCTCAAACTCAAGATTCTCCTGCCTCCACGTCCTGAGCACATGCCACTCTGACAGCTTCATTGTGAATGCTCAAAGGCTCTTGGGTTGCACAGCAACTCACCCCAGAGGCTGTGCAGAGCTCTGCTAAGTGTCCTTCCCACAGTCCTCGTGTTCAGTGGGGGACTCCCCAGAAGGCTAAGCCCGACCAGGGCACTGTGGGAAGAAGTAAAGCGCTCCTGCCCAGGATAAGGAGCAACAAAGACATGGCAACTTCCTTAAAGTCATTTCAGCCATCCTTGAGTCTGCACAGAATAAGCAAGCGGATTAAGTGCTTTTGCTGTATAGCAGTGGTACAGATGGTGTGACTGTTTCACCTGGGGTAAGAGTAACAGCCACGTGGGGAAGGGATTCACCTGTAAATGCTCTGCAGGTGAGTCAGAGCTGGGCCCAGGACATGAACCAGGACCCCAAGGAGGCAGATTCTACCAGCTCCCCTGAAGCCGCACAGGAGCTGTACCTACCAATGATGATTTTGTTCATCTTGCTCTGGTCTTCTGCAGAGGCAGCCTGCAGTCCTTGATGGATCTGGTGTGCAGCCAAGTCAAAGAGGTCCAGGTAATCTTCCACAGGGTAGCGGTCTCGTAGTCCATCCCTTAGGCGGACAATTCCTGCAGGAACCAAGAAGTGAGTTACTGGCCGAGTGGTGGTGGCGAATGCGTTTAATCCCAAAACTAGGGAGGCGAAGGCAGGTGGATCTCTGTGACTTTGAAGCCAGCCTGGTCTACAAAGAGAGCTCCAAGATAGCTAGGGCTACACAGAGAAACCCTATCTCAAAAAGGCAAAACAAAACAATTTTTTAAAAAATCTGAGTTACCAAAGATAACACTGTCACTGATAGGGTGGTGGCCTCCTGAAATATGACCAGAGAGGGAGGAAAAGGCCAAGGGTACCTAACTTTAGCAGCAAAAGGCTTGGTGCAGGTAAGTTTCCGGAGGAGGCACAAGGGAGTGGGATGGCGAGCTCTGTCAACTGCCTGCCTGCTTCAGCACACACACGCCTCACAAGGTGAAAGGTACCACCACTGCTGCGCAGTGGCCACTTAAAAGAGGTCATGCCTACTCAAGAGGTAGAAAGGGGGACATGTGGAGGGCTAGAGTTGAGAACTGACTCATATTTTTACCAAAAGAGACTAAAGCAGACATGCAACAGTGGTGCCTAGGATTTAAGAGGCATGCCAAACATGAAGAAGGACAAAAGAAAGGGAGCAAGGAAGCAGCCTCCTGTCGCCTGCATAGTGCCTCTTTCTTCAGTGCCCCATGGTATCAGATGCTCTAATACGGATGCATTCCATCGAGCACCCTGCTACTTGCCCGCACAGTAGGGTGAACTGATAGTGCCCTGGATGGACAAGGGTTATGGCATCAGCTACACATATCTGAAACTTGTTCCCTGCCTTTAACTTGCCTGGAAACATTTAAAAACATGCACTGCCTAGTGTCACAGCTACCAAAGTTACTGGAAAGTAGGAAGAAAACAGTTCTGGCCAAATTAGCCAAAGATTCAAGGTGATATTGAATATTAGCAGCAGAAGCATGCTCTGTCCTTCCCTCCTTCCGGCCGGGGGAAAGGGGGAGCTGGTTCTCTTTAGGGGGAACACGGGCTGTGGTGGGAGAGTATGTGTTCATACACAAATACATCAAATGCCTTAGGAAGAGGGACCTTGGCTACTCAGCAGCTACTGCTGATAAACCACTCCTGAAGAAATAACAAAAGGAGAAAGTCAAACATTTGTCAGGAAAAGTTAGTCTAAGGAAAACATCTTAAGATTCTCTTCTAGTGACCTGGGTCCTTTATATGGAAACTACCCTCGTGGCCCGCCCAGACTTTGGCAGACAACAGGCCATGTATCACCCATTAGCTTGAGTGACCAAATGTCTCCTGGCAGAAGAGAAAGGTTATGAACAGGAAACAGTGACCAAGGGCCACAGGGTGCTGGGGCTGGGTGGAGCAGAAACCAGCCTACAAGGAGGGACAGAGCAGGCGGGGTCCACAGTCAACCTTGGTGACCAGGGGCAATATGTGTTCCCACTGCATTTCAAACACATGAGGTAGAGAGGGCAGATCCCACAGTTGAGGTCAGAAGCTGTGTCTCCTCCAGGTGTGGTGGCTTCAGTAAAGCAATCCAGAGCTGGGTGCCAGACACTCTGTTCCTGGCAAACATTGATCCCTGCTAAGTGTGTGTGCTAAAGTTCTCCGGGACAACTAAAACTCTCAGGAACACACACACACACACACACACACACACACACACACCACCACCACCAACAACAACAACAACACCAGCAACAGCAACAAATTCTGCATCAGCCCCTTGCCCTGCACACACCTAGCATGCAGCCAGTGCTCACTAGGTGTGTCTTTGCCTGTGAAATGCAGCTATGGTCTGAGTGTATCCCCCAGAGGCCCATGTGCTGGAAACTTGGTAAGGCTGGGATGCTGAGGGTCATGGAACCCTTTAAAAAGTAGAGCACGGCAGAAGGTGATTCGCTTCCCGGAGCTCTGCCTGGAAATTTTAATGCTGCTCTCTTGGAGTGACTTTGTTCCTGAGAGAGGTTTACTATCACGCCAGGCCCCACCATGAACTTGGCCTCTGCTGCATACGGCTCGTCACATTTTCCTTTCTCTGCCATCTTGTAATGCAGTCAGCGACCTCTCAACAGGACATCAACAACATGCTTTTGGGAACCCCTGGAACCATGAACTAAATGCATTTCTTTCTTTCTAAGTTACCCAAATGCTGGTGCTTTGTTGTTACGCCACAAAACAGATTACCGTGACTGCCTACTGACAAGGACCACGTCTCTGAATCTCGGTACGTCTTCTCTTCAGAACCTCACGGGCATCCCTCACCAGTCACGACATGCATCCATGGAATGACTAAGAGAAAACGAGATCCAACACTCACCAAAGCGCTTCCGGGTCCACCAGTGGGGTTCCTTGATGGCTGAGAATTTCACTTCTGGATGCAGCCGGAGGCGATCGTAAAGGTCAGTAGTGCCACACTTGGGTTGTCCGATGATATAGAAGTGTGGCAGGCAGCGCAGGCGGAAGTGCTTGCCATGCACATGCGACAAGTGGCCCCAGAAGACTTTCCGGAGGGCATCGAAGGTAGAGCGGAAGCGCTTGGAATAGAGCACGTAGGAGTTGGTCAGGTAGGGGTCAGTGGTGTTCCTCCCAGAGAATTCCTCGTACCAACAGGGACTCTTGCTGTTCGGAAGGAATTTATTGGGGATTACAGAGAACATCTGCAATCAAAGAAAGAAGGAGACAGATACAATGAAGGCAAACAATCAGCAACAACATGTTCTAAACTAGGAGACATAGTAACCCACACATGTAAGGCCAGCACTCGGGAGGCAGAGACAGGTAGGTCTTTGTGAGTTCAAGGCCAGCCTGGTCTACAGACCGAGTTCCTGGACAGCCAAGCTACATAGAGAGACCCTGTCTGGAAAACAAAACAAATCTAAGGGATGGGGCCGAGGAAGTGGCTCAGCAGTTAGTGTATACTGCTCTGTCAGATCAGAGTTGAGTTTCCAGCCCCTACATGGGGCAGCTCACAACCACCTATAACTCCAGCTCCAGGGCATTTGACTTCCACTCTGGCTTCCAGGGGCACCTGTCCTCACATGCCCATATACCTACACAGGTACACACATGGCACGTGACAAAAAAATTAATATTCATTTTTTAAAAATACTAAATGATGGTTGAAGCGACTTTAACCACCCTATTCCAGGCAAGAAGTACCCAAAGGCAATGATGAAAAGAGATGGCCTTAAATATCTCTGGTACGGCCATTCGAGACAGCAGATTCCCTCCTTGGCATGCCATAGCATAACCACACACTGCTATCTAATCCCAGAGGCTGTCAAATTATCGTTACTTTAGACACCTAGGAAATGTCTGTCCCATTCCAGCTGTGCCCCCTAAGATGGTGATGGAGAAGGAAGAAGCAACCATTCTTCAAAAGCCAATCATCAATAATGGCACGAGGCTACTCACATGCAATTCTTGCCTCTTGAGATCTTGTAAGTCTGGGAGCTGCCTGGTCGTAAACTCAATCCTGGAAGCGATGCTGTCAATAATTAGCTTAATGCTCGGATAGTCCTTCACATAGGAGATGTTATTTATAGAAGGTTGGTAGTGGTGCTCTTTCATGTCACTGGGGTTCTCACTGTCCATCAAGCTGGGGTTGCTAGGGAAACTCCCGTAATGGAAAGGAGATGAAATCAGAAGCTCCTGGTGAGCCCCAGAAAGGAGATAAGAAGCCATCACCAAGGTCATGATTATCAATCCAAAGACCAAGCTACATCGCTTCCCCTTCTTGAAGCGCAAAAAACCACCCCAGTTCTCATTGCCCTCAGTCCTCACTTCGAGAACAGCAAGCAAGTTCATCTGCCTACTGTCCACACGAAACAGAATTTTGTTTTCCCCTTTGCAAGCGGGGCACGCTTGATGACCGTGATGGGGGCCTCCTTGGCAGGAAGCTTGCTGCTTGTGTGTGTCCTCGGGAAACAACTGGATGCAGCAATTGATGCAGTGCCTCATGGTACAGCCCTTGGACGGCCTGCTTAGAGAGCCATGGACCAGCCCTCAAGGAGTTTGCTGGAAAAATTTAAGGATATCCTGTGATGACCAAGGATGGTAAAAAGGCACAAGCAACAGAAACAAATGCAAAAGAGAGCAGACACCAACGCACTAGAGAACGAGGCACATTCTTTGGTTCAAATACGGAGGTCAATACAAAAAAAAAGCAAATCCCAGTCGTCTGTTCTGCACCAGCCATGCAACACTGAAACAGCCGCAGGTTTGGAAGCAATTCTGCTTGTGCTTCAGGTTTTTCCCAGGGCACCAAAGAAAGTTGGAGTGGCATCCGTGGAGAGCATGGGGCCACACTGGAGATTAGAAGACATCATGGGATCCTCATTGATGGGTAGACTGGCATTCCTCCGGAATGTTTTCTCTTGGTGGGGAGCAGACTCTTAGGAACGGCAGGTGACCTACACATAAAAAAAGACAAGTTGTGTTGCATTGTGTGGTAACTATGACAGTACAGGAGTTGCTTCCCAGAGAAGGGCAGATGTTTAGCTGTCTCTTCTGCCTGTCCATTTCAACCATACTTACTTGTTCGTAAGCAAGTCACAGATCACACAAGGTAAATAGAGATGTTTGGGGTCTTTGTGCTTGAAATTAGGGTTCATTCTCTGTCACCAAATGTGACCCCAAACACCACACTTAGCATGGCTGATACACCCTTCAGGACCTCTGCCTTCAGGACATCTGAGCTACGACATCCCAGTATCCCAAGCTTGTGTAACTACAGTCAGATTCATGCACAATCGGTTTCTTAGCTAGGCTTCCGCTGCTAGAATGAAACACCAAGGCCAAAAGCAACTTGGAGTAGAGAAGATCATTTCATCCTTTACTTCTCCATCACAGTCCATCACTGAAAGAAGTCCGGGCAGGAACTCAAGGCAGGAATATGGGGCAAGAACTGAAGCAGAGGCCGTGGGGAAAAAAAACAAAAACAAAAAACAAAACAAAACAAAACAACAACAAAAAACACTGCTTACTGGCTTGCTCCTTGTGGCTTGCTCAGTCTGCTTTCTTACACAACTCAGGACCAACAGACCAAGGGTGGCACCACTCACAGTGAGCTGGCCCACGTAGGCCATTCATTAAGCAAGAAACTACCCTAAAAACATGCCCACAGGCCAATCTGATGAAGGAGTTTTCTCAATTGAGGTTTCTCATCCCAGTTAACTGTAGCTTTTGACAAGTTAAAAGAGAGAGAGAAAAAGAGAGAGAGAGAGAGAGAGAGAGAGAGAGAGAGAGAGGGACCCAAGGATCCAAGACCATCAGTGATTTCCAATTTGAGGCATGAATCAAAACACCATTTTTACCTCAATGACAAATGTGAGGCGTGTAAGGAGGGGGATGGGAATGGCGGGGGAACGCGGAGGGAGGCAGCCTGTCTCCTCACAGCTTCTTCAACTCTTCCCCCCCACACACACACACAGCTTAAGAAGCAAAAGTTAATGAAAATTTAGCAACAATGAAATGATCGTCTTCTTCAGTCAAGTGTATCACATTTAAAAAAAAAGAAAAGAAAGAAAGAACACCATCTGACTTCAAGTTATTAGGCAATTAAATCCAATGTACAGGATTCCCCCGAGTCACGTAACACTTCGGACCCTGAAGGCATTTTTCATTTTCATCATCCGGGGAAGATGTGATTCTTAAAAATCCATTAACGTAATGCCATGGCGGTAAAGTGTATTTTTTCCCCAAATGACACTTCTTTGGAGATGTCATTAAAGGAGCAACAGATGAAAGAACCTCAGTTGATTTCTAGCCGCCATAAACGACGCCACCCCCAAAACTGGCTGTGAGACCTTAAGCTGTTCAACCTCTCTGAGTTCTCATGTCTTCAGCAGTAAAATGAGAATAATAACAGTGTTTCCTTATATCTTTTTTTATTTATTTATTTTGGTTTCTCGAGACAGGGTTTCTCTGTACCTTTGGAGCCTGTCCTGCAACTAGCTCTTATAAACCAGGCTGGTCTCAAACTCAGAGATCCATCTGCCTCTGCTTCCCGAGTGCTGGTATTAAAGGTGTGCACCACCAACACCCGGCCCTTGTAACTTTTTTAAGACGCGACACTAATTAATGTGTGTCAAGCGTTTTTATAGGCCTGACATGTACTCAGGGACCCAGGAAATTCACAACATGATAACAACATCATCATTGGCCACACTGCCATCTTTAATTGCCAGTGAGTGATACGCAGCAAGTGATACGCAGCAGTCCCAGATGGGACACCTGAGCCACATTCTTTCTCCTTGATTACCCAAGGGTCGTGAACTCGCATCCCATTGTACTTGTATACACCTAAGCAATCCTCTGTCCCCAGAGAAGTGGCATTAACCAAGCCTTCATTACAGACTCTATATATTGGCTAGAGATCTGAACAGCCACCACCCTGCAGTAGAAACCTTCATGTCACTTGGATCCAAAGCCCGTGTTTTCTTGAAATATGTTGGCACCAAGTGGTGTTTCTTCCACCCACAGAGTGCCCTGCATGCTGCCAGCATTGGTGCAGATTCACAGGAGCGGAGAGCTGGACAGATTCTATACAGCTCACCACAGCGGCACTCTGTGGACCTTTAGTATGAAAATGAGCCTTTGTGAATCTCCACGGCCAGGAATATAATAAACAAAAGCTGCATTGTGTAGGCCTGGGGGGGGGGGGTGGCTCCACGGATAACTCACTTGCTATGGGAGCATGACAACCTGAGTTCAGATCCCCAGGATCCACATCAAAGCCAGACACCTCAACCCGCACTCTGTTTTGTGGGAGATGGAAGACAGAGGCAAGAGAATTGGCAGAAGTTGGGAGGCTAACTAGCCTGGTATATGCATCCGTGACCAAGAAAGACTGCCTCAAACAACGTGGGAAACAAAGAATGACATGTGAGGTCATCTGACCACATACATATCATGTCATGTGCCCCAAATTCACACACACACACACACACACACCACATTGGTCAAGGAATTATCACTATAACCAGGAGGTCACATTGAGATGTGCTAGTCTAAGGGATCAGAGTCAGGCAGAGCCTGGGACAGCCAGAGGAACATACTTGAGGAGCGTGGGAGGAGATGCCCTGGGACCAAGCTGGGTCCCTCTCCTCCCTTAGGGCAGCTAGCAGAGCGTACTGGGAGCCTCTGCTTCCAGCCTTGCTCCGTCACCCCTGACCCATTGCTTGGTACAAACAATTCTTCTAAATAAAGAAACAAAAGGGCAAGATCCCTCCTTGGGAACTCCATCCCTGAAGCCAAGAAAACATTTTTTTTTTCACTTGTCAAAGACAGGGCCAAGGCAGGGTTTAAAATGAGGTTCCAAGCAGGGACTCAGTGGGAGGATGTTCACACCCTTCTATCTCACTGCTGGTTTAAAAAAAAGAAAACCAAACATGGACTTTGAAGCCACAAAACAAGAATGTACATCATTAGGATCCAGCAGAATAGGCAGAACATTTCTAACCAAGAGGTAAGCTATCTTATTTCAAACAAAGTAAATAAAGTTTAGGAATGAGGAAAGCTGATAAAGTTAATGAGGGTGGATGGGACAGAGGACAGGCTCCAACATGCCTAGTGTTCCTCTGCCTCCAGCCAGGCAAACCATTCCAAGACTGATTTCCTACTCATTAAACGACCAAGGAGATTACTCCCCAAAACACCGTAACATCGTGTGTTCTAATTTCATTCATTCACTAATTCAGTACACAGTTTCTGAAGGCCAACTGTGTGCTGGGTACATCCTAGGGTGGAGACCAGAAGTCAATATAAGATGTAGTATGTAGGTACATGTGCACAGACATGTATAGTTAGTATTTGGTCTCAGCTCCCCTCCCCCAGCACAGAGGTAATGGCGCTAGGAACCACTGGGAGCTTCAAGATGGGAAGTGGTCTTCCAAAAGCCCGAGCCTCGATTAAAAACTTAAATTTTCAGGTAGGATGAAGTTGAACTGAAGACCGAATCCCCGGTGACAGATGATGTAATAAATCTCCCTGATGTCCTAAGACCTCTGCCCAAACACAAAACCACAGGGACCTGAGGGCTTCGGGATTGATGAGCACACAGAGGTGGGTGAAGACGGGCATCGTGAGTACTCTTCCCTGTGCCTGACTGGCTATGTTCCTGCTGACCAGTCCACATTCTCCTGATAAACTGCTGCTGGGGCCCTTCCTGGAGAGCAAGGCATTCCTCCAGGGACTTACTGAAACCACTCGGGAAATCCTAGGAACTTTTGCCACTGTGTTCAATTCGGACAAGTGTGGGTGTTGGGAACCCCACACTCATGACTGAGAAGGGAAGTGGAGCCGTCTCTTGGGAATGAGCCCTCAGACACCAGGCGTTGGGTGCGGACCTTGAATGGCAAGGGTCCAGGACGGTGTCACAAAACTGAAGAAGTGGTTGGAATTGGTAACACTTCTGGAGGAAGGGGACAGTGAGCATTTCTTCAAGAAAAAGATATGAAACTGTCTTATTTTTACAAGGATTCTTTTTCGTGTTTTTCTTGTTATTGTTTGCTGTTTGTTGTGGTTTACCAAAACCATACAGACACTCTATCATTTGTGAACTACATCTCAGCAGAGTTGATGAAGACCCATCCTGGGACCAGGTAACGGGATCACTGGTGCCTTAAGCGCAGGGTGTGGACCTTTATTGCCTCTGGACAAGCCAGTCCCTGGGTGGACAGGAAAGGTGCAGAGGGGACCCCAACAGAGGTCTCTCTCCACCTAAGCTGGCTTTTACTCCATCTTGGCCAGGGGTGCTGCCAGGGCATCGAGCTGGAAAGGAAATCACAGTTCACATGATAATCGCAGGCACCAATAAGAGCCACTAATCTCCCAAACGGTGAAACCATGAGAAAACACTGTTCAGTGCCACAACGCAGGGCCTGGACTAGATAATTCCTCCCAGCACAGGCTGTCCCGCACTATAGGATACACAAGGCGTTCAACAGCATCCTTAGTCTCCACGGCTAGGTACTGAGATAGGGCAGGCAAAACCAGGTCCAGACACAGGCAAAGGTCCCCTTGGGGGCACAATCTCCCCCAGATGGAGCCTGTCTTAGAGGAAGGCATTCAATGCACACTGAAGAGAGACAGTGACTTCAGAGGTGCCGCTGTGTGAAGCCTGAGGGACAGGAAAAAGCCCGGTTTTATAGAAATGGAGGAAGCAAGGGAGGGGGACACTCTGAAGGAAATCAAAGCCCCTGAGAACTAGCTGTGGGTAGATCCTTGGGGACTTGCCCTGACTTGGAGAAGGTAGCAACCACATTGGGGAAGGAGTAGAGATTGGCTTCTATGTGCCCTGAAGACTAGAATCAGAGGTGATATTGGCCCAAGTGCATAAAGAGAGGCATGCTACATAGTCTTTCCCAAGGCTCTCCATGAGCTGTGTAGCTATTAAATAACACAGTTCAAT